TTTTATCAAGTCATATATAGTAAGTAGTACGATCTCACATCTTAAGTTCCACACTCAGATAGTGAATACACTTAACCTTGGTTTCACTTGCAAAATGGGAATATGAAGAAACAATGTTGTATACATTTTTTTCCTTGGGATTATGTAATCCTGACTTCTTGTCATGATTAACCTCACAGGAAATCCCAGTATGGAATTGTTAATTCTTGAGAGCAGGGTTTGATCAGAGTATGCTAGATAAAACAAGATGAAAACTAGATCTTGATCATGTTTTGATGTAACAAGGAAGATTAAATACAAACTGTAATTGGCTTCCCAATTTAATCCAGTTGTTTGAGTTTTTTAATTTCTCCTGCCTAACTACTATTCCTAATGATGCACTTGAACCATCTTCCAGTCCCCTCACTGAGAAACAGGTTGCTTGTTTTTCAGTTCTTGTGGAAAACCCAGCATGGAATTGTACTTGTCCTGTTTAGTTTCAGCTGCATCAGGGCAGAAGCTTAGAAATCATAACTGAAGTTTTATCAAGTTCTGAAAGCAGAAACATAAGCTCTTTAAATATTAACCCCTCAGTTTACTGGGTGAATGGAGTAAAAAAGAATGTTGATGCTCTTTATGGCTACAGTTTATTTTTATATGTAGTATTGGATGTCAGAGAGAAGTTTTCAATATTATTAATTTATTGCAATTTATTGAGTATAATGGTTAAAATAAAAGATAAAGGAAGCTTGGAGCTTCAAATGTAATGTGATTCCAGTCCATCTGTCTGACAGTTCTTGAAGTATCTAAACTGAGTGCCTCCTAGTATCAAAGTTCCTAAGGTTCCCAAGTAGTTGTTTTTAGGTAAAAGGCTCCAACTCTTTTTTCCAGCACTGTTGACATTCTCAGCAGCATGAAAAAAATATGAAAATGTTTCTCATAAACATTTTGATTAGTGGTTTCATGGCTTTTGAATGTTCTCTCAGTGATCCTCCTGTTACAGTGGTAATATTCTTGTGGGCTTTTAACTGTGAGCATTGCACAGTAGTTCTTTATTTTTTCTCTTCTTCAATTCCCTGCCAGTACCCTGGACTGTATAATTTTATTTCTACCAAGAATTCAATTTTTCTAGGAAATTTCAATTTATTTATTTTATGGTCTTATTTCTTAAGGCATTTTGGTCTTTTCTGTTACCTCTCATAGCTGTGCTTTTAATACCTGCATTTCTCGAGCTCCTGTGTATCTTATCTAGCATCTCAAGTAGATGACTGCAGGTGTGTCCAAGTCTGTACAACTATTACATCTTCCACAGTGCTACATAATATTTTTTGCCATTTTTTTAGATTAATCCTCAAGTTTGTCACCATTTCAAATAAAATCAAGGTGCTAGACTTTGAAAAAGGATTCAGATTCTTTTCTACTGAGACAAACTGATTTTTGAGTCATGTGTTCTAAAGTATGTTAATTGAAAGGAAGGTATTGCAAAAGTAATGCTATGTAGTCATTTTAGAAATGTTCAGCGGCCAAGATTCGGTTATACAATATACTTATATTTATATGTTTGTATAATATTCTATAGCAGGGTGTCAGCTATTAGATTTTATTTTCCTACAGAGGTTCCTATTAAGTTGAATTTCTAATATTTCTGTATCACTAGTAAAAGTTACATATGAAAGTTACAGCTTCATCTCCCAATATACTGCTTTTAGCACAGTCTCATCTGCTTTCAAGGTGAGGTAGAATTAAGGGCAGGGAAGAAACCTGAAGAATAACAACAAATTTTCTTCTAACTCTTCAAAACAATATTCCCTTATCTTTCTGGTGTTGCTTATCATTGTCTTAGCAGGAGTAGGACATCGTAGTCACAGTTGACTTCAGAGTGTCAGTTCCTAAAGACTCTGTCTGATTATGACTGGAACTAAGAGGAATTTTCCTCACACAGTTTCAGGAATGGGCTCTATACAAGCATTGCAGTTTCTGTTCATTTGTATAATAATTAAAAGGAAGATTCTTCAATTAAGGGCCTGTTTTCTGCTATTGTCTCTTCTGTGACTAGTAGTCTGTGCCCTGCTTTGTGTAACTATACTGACTTATGGTTTTACCCATTCTCATTTCCCAGTACAGCTTTTTTATTAATTTTTTTTTTTTGGGGGGGCGCTATAGCATTACGCCTAATTTTTTTTTTATTTTTTTTTACTGTAGCTTGTTTAGTTTGAAGTTACCTCCTAACATAACTCTTTCTCTGTAGCTTATTTAGACAAGCCATAAAGAATTATACTCTGGTTAAGAGGTTTATTGGATATAGATACGCACTTGTGTGCAGATTTGCTTGCTATTTTATTTTACTGTTTTTATTAGTTCCTTTCAAACCTTAAAAAAAAAAAATTCCTGCTTGCAGCTGCTCCTTTAGGTTTCTCCTCTTAGCCATATAACTCCTTCCTACTTCAAAAAATTCAGTCAAACCACACTTCATTTGGTCTTTAGTTAGGAATTTATAAAGGTCAGGAGAACCAGTAAGATACTTATCAATATTATGTCAAAGCATGCAAAAATATATTAGTCTAATGTTAGAACTTTATTAATATTAATGCTGCATAAACACCATTGTCAAAGTTGCCTTTTTAGATTTAAGATGTAGGTGGCAATTTCAAAATTAATGCAGGACTGAAATCAAATAGAATCTAGAAGATTAAATATAGTGTAAAACTAGTCAACAAACCTATTTTGTGGTTAAATCATAATATGCCTTAGTGCATATGTGACTCCCCTTTTTTTTTTTTTTTTTTTTTTTTTTTAAGGAATCAACACGTCAAATGTTTTTACACTTCCTAATTCAGGAGTTTCAAAATTACCTGGATAAAAAGGACCATTCCTATTTCACTTTAATGCCTCATGCTGTATTTCCTCAGTTTCTCAACTTTCAGAAGTTACTTATTTTCACAGAATTTAGCTATTATTCACCAAAGAATCAAGTTTTAATATGACTCTATTTGAAAAGGAAACAAACTAGTAAACTATAAAATCAAGTTGATTTTAAAAGTGATTTTTTTCAGTCAAACCTGTTGACAGAGTTTGTAAGTGAGAATTCACTGGAGAAGACATAGTACGTCTGTTAATAAAAGGAAGCTGCTGTTTTGAGTACTTACGTATTTTTATTCAGGCTTTCTATAGAAAAAAATTACAAAAAAATAAATATGCAAGTAATGCTTAAGCAATTAATGAAGACAGAAGGGACATACACTGAACTTTATGTTGTAGTCCTCTTGCTTTTGGAAGAAATTTTAAAAAGATTTTGCCAATATGTTGGTTTTAAGTTAGAGGATATTGGTATGTTGCTGTAACATGTATCTGAGAATATTTCTACTTAGATGAAAGCTAATAATTGTAGGAGTCACAGTGTTACTAAATTGATGATGAAAGAATGTATCAAATAAGCTAAAACACATAATGAGGGATTGCTCCCACTAAGCAAATAGTAATGCACACATTGTTTCTCTTTTTAGCCCTTCTCTGTGTTGACACCTGAATTAATTTTCTTTTTTTTAATTGTGAATTTGTATAAATTATAAATTCATAACTATTATGACTACTTTTGTATAAAATTATATGTGCATTACACATTTACAATTAAATTATGAATTTCCAAATTAAGAACAGAGGCAGTAGCTTGTTTAATTATACCCTAAATACTTCTACTTTGTTAACAGTTTTTCACTTAAAGTAATGCAATTATACACTGCAAGTTGATACAATGATGCTGCTGCCAAAAGGCCAAAATTAAACCCGCCATTCTCTGGAATTTGACATACCAATCTTAAAATTCAACTGAAACTACCTTAAAACAGAACTATAACTCTATGGTTACATTTTTAATTAAAATTAGATGGATTTGCAAAACGGTGTTTGCCGTTTACTCAAGAGCCAGGCACTCAAGCTTTTCCATATGTGCATTTTAAGAACACAGAAATTGTGATACTTTGACCAAACTGAACAGTTGTCTGACCAAGTATGTGGGGTCAATTTAAGCAAACCCTAGACAATACAAAGTGCTTAGCGGGACAATATAGTGTTTTCTATAGTGTACCTTTTCCAGCAGTATGTGGTTAACAGACATTCAGAACTGTTATTACAATGGCATTAAGTGGTATTTAATCACTTTTCCCTTTCTACACCAATCAGGGGGCTTACTGCCATGATTCATCTTAAATATGCCTTGCAGTGAATCTTAATTTAATGTTAGACATACATATCTAAAGGGATGCGTATTAATATCTCATTGCTGTCTCTTGGTTCAAATACCATATGTGATGGTAATAAGCATAGTCAAGTGACAGTGGGGTTGGATGGGTGATACCCAACTGTATTTCCAAAGCCTACTGCAGACATGGGCACAAATAATTTTTGATTACCACTCAACTCTTCGCTGATATTTTCAGGGAAATGTGTTTCTAAGATATCTTACTGAGTGATAGTATGTGGTTTAAAACCCATAATCATATCTGTTAGTTTAAAACTCATGTTCCCATATGTGTTTTGCATTTTTTGGTGCTTAATTTCATTCTTCTCTTTGTTTGTCCAGTGGTTTGGGACTGCAGTATCCTCCTGAGGTTCTTTATAGTCAGTTTTTATTTCAGCTGTCTCACATAGTCATACCATTAGAAAACTTATTGCCTCACTATTTGCTTTCCAGATCATTTAGGATGTGTCAGATAACATAAATCTTTACATCAATGGTAATCTCCCTACTTTGTGAAAGTGAACTATTTTTTGCCAACAAATATCTTGCTATCTTTTGAAGACTAAAGAATTAAAAAAGAGAACCTTCTCAAAAAGTCTTTGAAAATATTAAATACAGTATAGGCAGGATCGTCCTTTAATTTCCCTAAAGCAACATTAGTATGTCATGTATTAACTTTTTGTTGTTGTTGTTCCTATAGGGGATATTTTGTAATTAAAGTGTTTTCATTGTTTGATTAAGACTTTTGTTATGTCTCATCAGTCCTGTTTCTTTCTATCTTAAGGTGATGGTGTTTGTTCATGCTAGAAATGCCACAGTACGAACTGCTATGGGTCTTCGAGAAAAAGCAAAAAACAATGGTCATATTTGTCACTTTTTGTCACCCCAAGGATCAGATTATGGGCAAGCTGAAAAACAGGTAAGTAATTAATTTAAATTGGCAGTCTTTACAATCCTAGAATTGGTGTTTTTATGAGACAGTCCAAGATGGGAATAGCTGAAGCATTTTTGAGCTTCCGGGAAGATATATTTTGCTCTGAAGAAAAGCATGGAATTGCTGAAATGAATAGAGAAAAGAGTAATGGTGAAGGAAGAGAAAGTGCTGTTACTTTTCATTTTTTAAACAAAAGCTGATGATGGGTTGTGGTTTATGCAACTTGTATTTAGAGGTCAATATTGATAAAGTCTAACAGGCCATGCTTTGTCTAGTGGAGTTCACTTTTGAAAGAAAGATATGATATCCTTTTAATCTGAGAGTCCCATGATGTGCTTTCTCTGTATTTTTAATGGTTCTTGGGAAGAGTTAAAGAACTCAGTGGTGTAGATAGGCCCCAAAACTACCTTCCCAGACTGAAAGCTATTTGGTACATGCATGGAACCCTGCAGTGCTGCACTGTATCTAGGTGAATTTCTGATATGTGAGATAGGTGAGGATTCATAATTTATATTTATCGTTAAATTAGTGAAGTCACTAGGTTAAAATTCATTTATATATCTGAAATTGTTTGATTTCTGAAGTCCATCATAGCATTGGAGAGGAGGTTATTTATCAAAAAAGAATTGGACAAGTTAAAGGAGGATGATTTGGTGATCACTGATCACAGCAGTCTTCATGTATTCTGCAGTTCAGGAAGTCCCTAAACCACCAGTTGCCACAGAAGACTGTCTTAAAGTATTAATTTGACCTAGCCTGTAAGTTTACTACCTTTCCAAAACCATCTGACTTTCCTTATGAATCAACTAATGGTGGGCAATCAAAAAATAATCAGTTTGAGTCAAAAGTGGGAAAGCCATTTGATTCTCACAAGGGTTTAGCCCTCTTAATCTGATCTTTAAAAATATGTATATGGCTCATAAATTACTGGTATTTTGAGCAGTGGCTGAGTACTTTCCAGCTGAAACTGTGTACATTTTTATGCATTCTAACAGGTCTGTCTTTGTATGAATTGTGTTAGTTGACCTTCCAAATTTGTTTTCTAATATATAACATGCAGAAGTAACTTGCAACAACTTCTTTTAATCTATTCAAGCAATGTGCCAGTATTTCTGTTGAGAGGATATTTCCAAAACAATTCTTAATTCAGTGTTACATGTGACATTTACATTTGGTGATATTAATTGAGGTCTAAAGATTAGAGTTAACGTTGTTAATAATTCCTTGAAAAATAATGTTCTTTCTTTCTCCCCAACTAAATAGCAGAACATAAAGGAGATACTTATTCACTGTAGAAAGTTTAATGTATGTATAAGACCTTCTCTCACTGGCAAATTTATTGATAAACTCTTAAATATTTGGGAGGCCCCTGTGAGGCTTTTAGATTCTGTGTCTGTCTTTAGGTGTTATAAATACATTATTTTATACCTCTGAAGAGAAAGTGAAGGGATTCATTCAGACTTATTGATTATGAATGGAGCATAGATGTTACAGTTGGAAAATTCAAATTTCTGAAATGTAGAGAAAATTCTATTTTAGAGAAGATTTTTTTAAAATCGGAATCAAGTATGTTCTTTCTGTTGAGACGCTTCTGAGAGCTATAATAAATATTTTTTAGACTATGCAAATTTGAAAGTTTATGCCCTTATATTTCATAAAATAGCATATTAAAAAGCCCCTCTTTTTCTAATGGATTTTAGTATCTGCTGCATTATAAAAATAACATCAAACCTGAACCTGGAGATCCCAAGTTTCTACTCTAACACTGGTAATTAATGCTGAACTTCATCTCATTAGATTTCTTAGAGCAAAATCTGAAAGTCTTAGTTTATTAAAAATAATATAATTTTTTTAGTGCTAATACAGAAAAAATATGTTAAGCTATTGAAAGTACCAGTGCTTATTTAGACACTCAAAATTATTGCTAAAGAAATTAGGAAAAATGATGTGCTTGTTTCAGCAGCACATACTATGTGAGGTATCTGTCAAAGTATTTGTCCATCTCACTCTCTATTTCATTGAAAACTACTGCTGTATGTTTAGTTCTCCTCCTTATTCTGGGATTAAATGAATCAGAAAGCATATTTTTATGTTGATGGGAACTACAAGAATGTCCCAGAGAAAAGTAAAGTTCTAAACCGATTTAGAATACAGGTTATTGCTTCCTGTTTTGGAGACTGATTTAAGTAGCATTTGTAGTACAGATTAAGAGAGCGGTAGATAAGATGGCCTATAGGTTGGTTGGCTGCGTATCTGAAATAACTTCTTTTTCTAAGGATATTTATGCATCACACTGAAATCTAGGGGATACTGACTAAAATATCAGATTTCTCTACTCGTTCTTCTGCCCCTTACATCCCTACCCTAGCACACACAGATTTGTTATGAATCCCAGCATCTCTTCTAAATCAAATTTTGAATTGGTTGAGAGTTGTAGTTCCAAATGTTGATCTGTGCAAAAGATTGTAGAAAACCTGACTTTGCTTTAGAAGATTTACTTTACAGAAGTTTTCTAACATTTGTAATAAAGCAAACTGGCCTTCGCTGTAATGAAAGCCAATTAAGTCTTCTCTTATATTTCATGGGAATCTTTGATCCTTTTGACTACTTTCTGCATTACTATGACAGCAAAAATACTTCTTTTGCCTAGAAGGTTTAGGGACTTGTATGTTATAAAAAGTAATTGAAGAATCACGAGTGGTATTGTGAAGAACCATTTTGCATACTGTAATACAGCTAGAGAGTATAGTTCTCATTATACTATCTCAGATTCTTAGGAAGGTAAACTTAATAATAATAATTAAAATAAGTGAAAGATTCCCAACAAAATTCCACTAAATTAAGTGGTTATTTTGATGCTCAATAAATTTCACTGGGAAGTCCCTGAAACATTTAAAAACTGTCACCACAAAAAGTGTAGTCATTGTATGAAAGATATGATTATTCTCCATTGGAAATACCTGAGTCTTTTATTTCAATATTTTATTTTTTAAATGTAATGAGTAGACATTATGGCAAGAAGTCTTTAAACACAGAATAATATGAAGCATGTAACTGTTGGCTGCTTTTCTTTCTCAAGTTGTCAGTGTCTTTTACATTAAGTAATATCAAATTAGTGATACTAGTAAGGAGAGATTCTCTTTTATTTTTTTTCTTTTATTATGAAAAGCACATTTGATATTAGGGTATTTTTTTAATAAACTCATTGTCTATTCCTTAAAGTAGTTGTCTTACCATCTTTAGATCATATGCTACCTGCCAAAATAATGCATTCAGTCAGCTATCTGTTCGCAGTAACGCTTTTCCATGAGGTAATGAACTGTTGATTGCCAGGATTTGCTCTGCTATAGTATCATGGTTTTGGTTAGGCTCTTTCCTGGCTGTTCTTCAGCTTGAACAGGAAATCCTAGACTCATAGTACTGTAAAAGACATTTTAAAATGTGTACTAGTCTACACTACATCAAAAGGAAGAATCAGCTGTGTTTATGGCATTTCTTACTGCTTCAGAAAGTAATGTGTAATATGAAAATGTTTTGATGTGATATAATACTTACTACTTATGGGTATAGCAGGCAGATTAGATCTCTGAAACAATGCATCTTATGTACCACATTGGAAAGGACAGATAAGGAAGAGGGAGAGAGTGAGTAGTGCTCTCTGTTAGTAAGATCTTTGGCTGTGCAGACCTCCACAGTGAAAGTGGACATGTGCAGCTCCTGTCTGGTTCAAGATCGGAGGAGGAAGTAACAGACAGGGACGTTGTGATTGAGGTATGTTATGGGCCACCTGTCTATGGGGAGCTAGTGGATGTGACTTACTAGGAGCTACTGGCAGAAGTCTCCTGCTGGAAGGCCTTCATTTTCATGGGAGATTTAAACCATCTAGGAGGTTCCTGGAGTGTGTGGAAGATAACTTCCTGACAAGTTGGTGAGGTACCCAACTAGGGAAGGCGGCCCCACTGGACCTGTTGTTTGTGAACAGAGAAGGACTTGTGGGTGATGTGATAATTGGAGTCCCTCTTGGGAAGTTTTCAGTTCTCAGAGAAGTAAGGAGGGGGGTCTGTGGAACTGCCACCTTGGACTTCTGGAGGCAGACTTTGGCCTGTTTAGGAGACTGGTTGATGAAGTCTCTTGGGAGGCCGTTCTGAAGGGCAAAGGAGTCCAGGAAGGCTGGATATCCTTCAAGAATAAAATCTTAAAGGCACAGGAGCAGGCTGTCCCCATGTGCCAAAAGACAAGCCAGTGGGGAAGAAGACCAGACTGGCTGAACAGAGAGCTTTGGCTGGAATTCAGGAAAAAAAAGAGTTTACGACCTTTGGAAGAAGGGGCAGGCAACACAGGAGGACTACAAGGATGTCGTGAGGTTATGCAGGGAGAAAATTAGAAGGGCCAAAGCCCAACTAGAATTTAATCTCGCTACTGTCGTAAAAGACAGTAAAAAATGTTTCTATAAATACATTAGTATCAAAAGGAGGCCTAAGGAGAATCTCCATGCTTTATTGAATCCAGGGGCACACATAGTGATAAAGGATGAGGAAAAGGCTGAGGTACTTAATGCCGCCTTTGCCTCAGTCTTTAATAGTAAAACCAGTTGTTCTCTGGGTACCCAGCCCCCTTAGCTGGGAGACAGGGATTAGGCGCAGACTGAAGCCCTCATAATCCAAGGGGAAATGATTAGCGACCTGCTACACCACTTAGACACACACAAGTCTATGGGGCTCGATGGGATCCACCCAAGGGTGGAGCTGGCAGAAATGCTCACCGAGCCACTTTCCATCATTGATCAGCAGTCCTGGCTAACCAGGGAGGTCTCAGTTGACTGGAGGTTAGCAAATATGACACCCATCTACAATAAGGGCTGGCTGGAGAACCCAGGGAACAATAGGCCAATCAGTCTGACCATGGTGCTGGGGAGGGTTATGGAGCAGATCATCTTGAGTGCCATCACACAGCACATACAGGACAACCATGTGATCAGGCCAAGT